AAAAATAATAATGAAAATTGAATCTCTTAATGAAAAAGCAAGGAGTCTTATTAAATATAACAATGACTACTTGTTCTAATATATTTGTTTGCAATATATACAACTTAAATAACTTTTATAGTATATTATTAATTTTAAATTATATATTTAATAATGCAATATCTATGTAAATATTACATATATTATTTTGTGATATTAATTGCAAGCATATTATATATGTACATATTATTTATATTTTTAATTTGTATTAATATACCGTTTAACATGTAATTTTTTTTATGTATTTTTTTACAAAATAAAAAAAAAAATTAAATAAGATAGAAAAATTGAAATTTAAAATAAGATATGAATTTATTAAAATTTATAAGTATAAAATATATTTAATATAAATATTTTTTAATAAAAATCGAGTCATGCGGTTCAACTAGTGACCCACCGTTTCAACCTTTGACCCTCTGACCCAGTACCTTAACCGGTTCGATGACCGGTCCGATTTTTAAAACTATGAAAAAAACCACTTATTTCTTTTGATTTGGTTAATTTGTATAAAAGATATTATAGTAATTTAATTTAATTTAAATGAAAATAAAATATTTTCTCTCTCTTATTAACTTCACATTTTAAGTCATTTATCTCTCCTATTAAATTCCTTCTCCTACTCATTTCTCTTTCCTATTAAATTCTTTCTCTAACATATTTATCTCTCTCCTATTAAATTCCTTCTTTAACTCATTTCTCTCTCATCTCTCATTATGTCTCTCCCTTTTTCTCTCTTTTTTTTTGGTAAAGTCTCCCTTTTTCTCTGAACAAATAAAAATTAATTAATTAGAAAAAATAAATGAATTAGAGAATGAAATTAATAAGAGAGAGAAAATATTTTATTTTTATTTAAAATTAAATTAAATTACTATAATATCCTTTGTACGAATTAACCAAATCAAAATAAATGAGTGGTTTTTTTGTCCTAAATTTTTGTGTAGGTTGTTAACATACTCCCACTAAAAAATAGGTGGGAGTACATTAGCATTCCTCATATATATATACATATATCAAAAATGATATATTAATTTAACTGTTTTTTTTTATAACATAAAACATAAAAATAAAAAAATACTTAATTTTTAACATATAAGTAGTATATTTTAGTATAAAATATATAGAAAATAACATAAAAAATTTAGTGGGAGTATTTATCCTCACTTGCACTGCGCTATATATGCCAGGAAAATGCGGGGACCCACGAGGAGGGAGGAAAGGTATATGCATTCGCAAAATCACAGGATGAACATGATATTGATAACACATAGTTCAAAAGCTTAGTGGTTGATGAATCAAAAAAAGCTTAATTAGTGGTTGGAAAAATTTGGTTGCTTCTCTCTGTCAGGACATTCTATGCCAAATTATATGAAACCTATAGATTTTCCCAAAAACCGAATTTGGACATGTAATGTTAACGAAGTTTGCTGATCTTGTCCTGGCGGAAAAATATGGCTACACTTTGGTCTGTGAACTTAAGGTGCAAATTAATGTTGGTTCTAAATTTCTTATTGTTGGCTTCCTTGTGAGGGGCTTCTAGTGTTGAAAACTATGTAAGTTATGCTCATAAGGCCGAGACTAATTCTTTTTTTAGATGTAGTGACCATTAAAGTAGGTTTTACATCTTTTTATAAAGTTTAATATATATATATATAGTTAATCGCCTATATATTGTCAGTGTAAAGGTTTTTTACACCGACAACTAATTATATCTTTTAATTGTATCATGTTACTGTTAAAAGTAAATATGTTTACAGTGACACAATTAAAAGATACAATTGATTGCCGGTATAAAAAAACTTATACTAAAAAATTTTACACCGGTAGATGATTAATTTATATATATATATATATATATATATATATAAGGGGGTTTATAATTACATCAGTGTAAATTTTACTAAGTGTTACACCACTCAATAACTTTATATTAAATGTGAATTTTG